ATTTGTTGCAATAGTAATTTATGCACTAACTACATTGCTACTTGTACTACAACATTTGAATCTTCAGTTATTCCTAATTTTCCTCAATTGTTCATATTTGGTTTATTAAAATAATGATATTGTGGTCATTGTTAAAAAATGTCTGCTATTATTATGAGTATTATTATTTGTATGATGAGCTTTCTGCCTTCCTGTCATTAGGAGTTAAAAATGTAATGGCTATGTAGTAGATTAGATTAGAACCTTCATTATCCTAAACTGCTGGGACATTTCCCTAAAGCCAATACCTTTTATATTGTCTACTCTTCACTTACTTGTCAGCATAGGTCGGCATTGATGTATAGAGCCGACAGAAGACCTTGTTTATATTGGCATCATATTGAGAGGTGCAGTGACGCGTCCTAAAACCAGGAAGTAAGCTGCTGGTTCCCTCGACAAAAAAGCAATGGGATTTCTCCAAAGGGTTTTGGAAAATAGCTGGAAATAAGGTCTGTGGAAAACAAACCTGTTTGATAAATGCACGTTTTGTTCAGCCGGATAATCTCCACGTTTTGTTACCCTACTTTTATAATTTTCTAATCATAAATCTAATCGATAGATTATAAAAGGGTTTTAGGACGCGTTACAGTGTGGCTAAAACCTTCTCTCCCTCTTCTTCTCATACTCCCTGTCACTCTCCTTTAACGCCTCCGGTGACTTTCTTTTATTTGAAGATTGTTTTTTGCACGCCGCTTGGCCGGTTACCGCTAGTATTAAAAACATTTTGGCGAATGGTTGGGTGGCGCGATAGTCTGTAGCGAAGAAGGAGCGCGCTCCCGGGAGCCTGCTCGCGCAGCGCTCCGCAGCAAACAGCTGTTTGCTTTTCACCCTACAACAACAACCGCCTCACGAAAGGCTATGTTGTAGCGTTAATAAACGAAACAATTTAACTAAATTGCTAGTCAAAATACCAATACCACAGGACAATTCTTTTTTTTTTTAAAGCAATATTTGTAGTGGCCCGAGCGGGCAAGTGGAAAGTACGTTATGCTGGCCCGGGGTATCTAAATAGTGCTTCCGGGCCAGCGGGCCATTTATAATGTCGAGCCCTGTCTTGTATGATGTAGGAACTATACTACACTTGTCCATAAGTAGATTCACACTGTTGTCTGTGCATTAATACAGTTAGCAGTGTTTTTCAATAGAGAGGGAACATTTGAGGTGGAGGTGAGCTGTCCTTTATGGTAAGGTAGTGGCATTTCCACACAATTGACTTCCTGTCTGATCTTCCAGGTTGTGGGCAGCATGGACGCCCACCCAAGCAGGTACTGTGCTACAGTGCGGGTCCAGAGGCCCCGACAGGAAGTCATCCAGGACCTGGCCTCCATGGTGAAAGAGCTCCTGATCCAGTTCTACAAATCCACCCGCTACAAGCCAACCAGGATCATCTTCTACAGGGACGGGGTGTCAGAGGGGCAATTCAGACATGTAACACACTCTATTCTTTCTTTTGACTTACTTATTATGAAGCCAGCCCATGATCTAACATTCTTGATGAGCTGCAGGTTATATACATACTAGTAAAAATGATTGTGGTTTCCTGTGCAGGTGCTGTACTACGAGCTGCTGGCCATAAGGGAGGCTTGCATCAGTCTGGAGAAGGAGTACCAGCCGGGCATCACTTACATTGTGGTACAGAAACGCCATCACACACGTCTCTTCTGTGCAGATCGCAACGAGCGGGTGAGTGACACAGAGGAGGGACAATATTTCTGCTACTTCTTATTATAGCTGCTTACTCCACCTGTTTCCTATTCATACCAATACACTACTGTATGTTTTGCACATGTTGTTTTAGTGCAAAAATGCACTTTTTATTTTGTTATATTAAACAAAAACAACAAACATTGATTCTTTTTTTTCTTTTTTTTATTCGGCATTTTACTTCTTATGTTTGTATCAATCTTTTTTTGTAATATCTATTTAGTGCACATTCTTACTTACATTTTTCATATTTATAAACATATTTTCATTATAGTTAATAATCGTTTTTTTGCGTTATAAAATGGAGCAACTGTCACAAAAAACAATTTCTCCTGGCATAAATAAAGTTCTGATGAATTGTTTTGGAGTAGAGGCTCATGAACTGAGAGTAAACAAAGAAAGATTTGAAACTGCAGCTCATGCATATCAATTGGATTTCTTTTGCAGTATGTCCCTCTTTGTAATCAGTTTGTTAAATGACCTGCAGGTTGGACGAAGTGGAAACATTCCTGCCGGCACCACAGTGGACACGGACATCACTCACCCCTACGAGTTCGACTTTTACCTCTGCAGCCACGCTGGAATCCAGGTACGCTTCACACATACAGGCAAAGTCACTGGAAAGTCTCAGAAAGAAACACCATTTTTTTTTTTTTAAAGTGATTTGATATAGTGCAGGAAGAAGATATTATTACACAAAAATGTGATTCTTTTTTCTTTGGGGGGTTTAACATTGTGCAGTGATATTGGTCATTCTTTCCTATGTTTGCATTACCTTTCACTGTATAGACTGATTTATGGCAGTACACTTAGACTGACTGCTGCAGATTGAAGAACCTTTTAAAGCCGTGCTGACATTCTCTTTAAAATTATGAACTGTTCTGCTTCTGAATGTTATTTATACTTGGACCAATCAGCTGTGAAAACATAGCAAAGGTTATTTCACCTTCCACAACCACACCTGGTTAGATAGACTTGTGCTGAGCAGCCAGGCCTCCAGCTCCACCTCATTTTAGCCTCGTCTCCACGGAGCTGCTTTCTCTCGTGTGTGATTAACTGCCCCCCCCC